CATAATATTCACTGCAGTAGTTTTCCAATTGGAGGATTGAAGAGTTTTACTTCATTAAAAACGGAGTGTTCTTTTGGTTGTTGTTTTAAGTCATTAAACACTCCTGAATGTTTTGCAAATTTCTAACAGAAATTTCACAAATATGCAAAACCTGTTTTGTCTGTTAATCTTAAGCTAGTCTTTTTTTGTTGTGGGTATGACTGTAACAAACTTAAAAAAAAAATAAAACAAAAATGATCTAAATAACAACAACAAATTTGCTATGAAAAGATGAGAGGATCAAATCACCCTCTTGGAATTATGGCATTATTCTATTTAATGACATTTTTCATTAAAAATATGATCATATTGGTCTTGTTAGTCCTCTGGATATTGGTCTCAGGATTTGTAGTATTACAGTCTATGTTCTGGGATAGGAGTGATTACTTTTTGATTAGTTAAGAGATATTTAGAAATGTAAATACTGCTTCAGTTCTTTGCTAGCTGTGGTTTCATGTCTGCACCTTGTGATTATATCCATGGTAAAAATAACTTTTAATCTGATAATACACAGCTGTGTGTCGTCAGAAGCAGCTTCTTTACAGGACTGGTCAGACACATTTTACCAAGATCACAAACTTGAGGAAAGAAGAGGACAAAAAAATCAGGAGGATTTTTAAAAGAAACCTAAAACTCTATAATCTTCACTTTTTAAATACTTAATATTTTTTTATAGGCATATAAATCTTTGTTATCTAATCTTATATTTAGGATAAGGAGGAAGGTGTGTCACCAACCCGTGGTACTTAATGCAAATGTTTTTTTTTTTTTTACTCCCCACTGTGTCTACATGTTATTAGGGCTTCTTTTGGAGTTGCAGACAGAGTGTTGTTGATGAAATAAAGAGGATTTCCCAGGTGTGTGATATAGCATGGTGCTGGTGAAGATTCTCCATCATCCAGGTCATAGTCATTCCAAAAAAGATAAAGAAAAAAACAAAACAATCCACTGGACTTTGTTTCCAGGTTTTAAGCTGTTTTGCGTCCCATCCAGGAAGCTTTTTCATAAAAAAAACAAAACAAAAAAACTTGAATTGAAAAAGCTTCCTGGATGGGAAACGAAACAGCTTCAAAGTTGGAAACAAAGTCCAGTGGATTTTTTTTTTTTTACTTTTTTGGAATGATATAGCATGGTGTGAAACCAGAGCTTGCTGCAGTGTCGATTTTAGGCAATGATTGAAAAAAATGATAATACACAGGAATCTGTTTCAGCTAGTAATAATTTATTAGTTAATGGAAGCAAAAATTAATAAAAAGGCATTAAAACTAATTAGATTATCTAAACCAATACACTCTGACTACTGAATTTCAAAGTGCCTTTAGCCTGTCATTTTTTCTGGTGTTACATGCATCTTCAAAACTGTAATTCTGTAATTTTTCATTTGTTTTTATGAAACAATTGGGGGAAAAAAAAAAAGGTTTGATAAACTGTAATAATTTTATTTTTATTCCATAAATTTTGGATTGTGCCTTACTAGAAGCTTGTAAAGACATTATTTTTATATCAGGTTTGGGGGAGTTTTAGCTTGAACCTCTCTTCCTTTTGTAGATTCTGTGGCATTTTATATATTTTAGTTGCTTCAAAAATTGTCTTGCCATTTCTTTGCATGTTTCGTCTTTGGTTTTCAGACTCACTTGAACCTCACTTGTACTGAACATGACGGATATTAAAACAATGCGCGATGTTTTGATAACAAAATGGCTGATCTTCTCTTGAAACACAGGTTCCACTTGAAAAACAAATTACAGTGTGTGTTTTGCAGCAGAGTCATGTATGAGTCAGTGCTTCTTACGTAGAAGTATCACTTAAAATATGAAGCTTGTTGTCCTGACGAGTTTTTTGCACTGGAATGGCTTCTAACATTTTAAATGCAGTTTTGATTACCTAATTGTTTATGTTTTATTCTATACACTGCCAAAAGGAAATGCTATAGCACATTAACCATACTTCTGCTTGGTGTTCTCTTTACCTTTTCAGATACATAATGCAGCTGAGGAGCCAAGAGTGCTGTGCATAATTCAGGACATTACCAGTGCAAAGACGATCAATGAGAGGCTGACTCTCAATCTGCCTGCCTCCACTACTCTCTCTAAACTTTATGAGGATGTTGCCCAAAAAGCTGGATATGTGAATGGCACTTTTGATTTGGTCTGGGGGAAAACTCTGAACATGGTGAGACACGTCGCTCCTATAATGTTGTAACACTGCTTTTAGGTATGAATATGTTCAGCTCTTTCCTGGTTGGAAAAGTAAACCTAACAAATGATCTAGTTAAAGTGTTGCTACTACTTAGTTGGCACCATTTCTTTGTGCAAAAATATCAATTTTCAATCTCAGAAAGAGCCCCTGACTGGGCAAAAAAATAAAATTAAATAAACCATGTAGACCAACCTTTGATAAAAAAGGTATGAGCTCCATGTTCATTTTCAATGTTTATTTTATGTACGTTTGCAGCATAAAAGCTTCAGTGATGATTTGAAGCATGATAAGCTGTTGAATAAATCCTAATTTTAACATTGCCTGTAATGCAGCTTAATATTTGGAATGTGCAGCATTCGGCTGTAGTCACAGCCCCCCTTTTTTCTTCTTCTTCCAAAATCCATAAATGTTATTTTCAGCTCTGCCCTAACACATTGTTGATCTTTTAATATCATCTAAAGGGATTAACAGAACCTGCTTTAAGTACAGTGTTCAATTCCTGACTAAATTGCTGTTGGTGTGGATCAGAGATCAGCTGATCAAGATTAAGTATTCAGAGACAATCCATCCTGTTTTAAACTGCGTTATTAAGAAAAGAAAATGCTGTTGTGACACTCGTTTGTAGGAAAACTGATAAGACAGACCCATTACACCATGACCTCACAAGTAGGAGCTCTACCCATTGTCCTCTCTTTGGTCAACAGGAGAGCATCAGTGTTTAGAAACGGTCCTTTTTTAATAATTTTTTTTCAACAATCTTTAATAACTTTATGTGTAATCCCTGTACAATAATAGTAGCACTAATTAAATAATGTTTCTACGTATCAGAGGTTTGTAGCTGCCTCCTGTCTCCCAACTTCCCACCCTGCCTGATCAGAGCGTACTAGTTGGTTTGGGGTGTTGTGCTATCTTCGCACAACAGTTGCCAGAAATGACATGATAAAAGCAACCAACTCGGCTTGTCTTTAAGATGGCCACTTCTTCACTCTTCTGGTGTCCCATACTGTTATTGTAAAACCAGATCATAAAGCTACTAATAGCCTATAGCTTTAGCTGTGTGAAGCTATGGGTTAAAGAATTGGTTGGTAGAGGCAATACTTTAAGTTCTGTTTGTCATGAAACGTGTCTGCAGCGAAAACTACTATATAGAAACCTTTGCCCTTCATATTAACCGGGCTTTACAGCTGCAGCGGGCTCTGAAACATCAATTTGAGTTACATCCTCATTTTACAAGGGTCGTTAGTCCTTTTCTTGGTTAGTCCATTTTTGCCGCAACTTCTATTAAAGGTGGTGTTTTATTGTGTTTTTAACTGAAGCCATAGCAGCAACATGTTTTATTTTATTCTTATTCAGCTGGTTTATAGATGGTTGTAGCAAAAAGCTAAAGTTTATTTGCAGAATTCTTTTAATCATCTATAATACAAAGTTCAAGAATACAACTTGTAGCACAATGAGCCACATTTTGAATATGTACTATTTAGATTTAGAGTTAAAAACTAACAGATGCAGCAAAGATAAACAAGTTGTTGTAGTTTTTTTATTTTATATTTTTGTTCCAGTTTGCTAGAGCTTCTGTGGCTCTAAGAGCTTTAAGTATCCAGTTCAAACCCCATAAGCTTCCATGCTGGGTTCCCAAACAGACACGTAGCCCCAGATTGCTCCCTAGGCAAGCTGCCCACTGCTTAGCAAGGAGTGGGCTAAATGCAGAAGGGTAATTTAATATGCAATAATTATTTAAAGAAAAACTGATTTGGATATTTATACTTAAGACAGGCTGCTAAAATATAGCCTCATTGAAGCTACTGAGAAAAGATTTTTGTTTTGTGCCATCAAGTTATGTAATGAAGTTTGCATTGGTGTTGCTATCTGCTACATAGGCTAATCTATAAAAAATGTCCCAAACAAGCACCGGATTTTCCTATTTTCATACTTCAACAAAAAGGGTGTCTAATGAATGTAATGTATCAGTGAGGTTCTGTTTCTTTCTCTACATAATATTCCCTTTTCTTAAATGAGCCCAAGCTAATCCTGTTGCTGACCTAGGCCAAAGCCCAAGTACTGTGCCTGTTATCTCACTGAGTAGGTCAGTGGATTAAGGTACTGCTTCCACTGTTGCGCTTGCTTGCTCATCCCCAGCTCGTCTTCTGAAAGACGGCATGTTTGTGCTCCTCACATGTTGGCTTCAAACTGCTTCCTTTACTCGCATCAGGACAGGAATTTTGTCGAAAATGGATTTAATGGGAGTCTGAATATTGTTGTAAGCTGTATTTAACAATGTTAACCTTTTTAAAGGCTTGCTTTCTGTTGGAGTATTAACAAGCAAATTTTTTTTAAATCTCTTTCTTACCATGAAGGCACCGCTGGAGCATAACAGTGAGATGTCCCTGTCTGATTCTGGCTTTGAACCTGGTGGTAAGAAAAATTTTCTCCAGGTTTCAGATAAAGACGGAGAGCAACCACAGGTTGCATCGGTGAGTGCTTCATATTAAAGATGAGTTTTTTCTGACAATGTTTTATTTCAATGTTGTTTATGCATAACATTTTTCAAAACAGATATTTCTAGCTTGTCAGCTTCAGGTAGATTTTCTTCTAATTCTGGGATTTATTTTTGTCAATAGGATGAATCAGGAACAGCAGAAAGCAGTGGGCTGGAGGATAGTTCTCAGGAGCGGTTCATCGGGCCTCTGCAGAGAGATGGCAGCGCTGGTGGCAGCGGTGACTACAGCAGCCCATCATACTCCTACTCATCCATCCTCAGCAAATCTGATACAGGTAAGTGTTGCTAACCTCTGAATGTTTCCCTGTATTTTTATTTTTTTATACTAACTGTTTTGTTCATTACTTCTGTCTGCCTGCAGGTTATGTTGGTTTGGTTAACCAAGCAATGACTTGCTATTTAAACAGTCTCCTCCAAACTCTTTTTATGACTCCAGAATTCAGAAACGCTCTCTACAAGTAAGAAGCCAATTTAAATTTGTTTTATTGAAGCCAATAAAGTATAAAGTTTAAAACACTCCCTTCTTTTTTCTAACGTCAGCTGGGAGTTTGAGGAGTCGGAAGAGGATCCCGTCACAAGTATTCCCCATCAGCTGCAAAGGCTCTTTGTTCTGCTGCAAACAAGTAAGAAACGGGCGATTGAAACAACCGACGTGACTCGGAGCTTCGGGTGGGATAGCAGCGAGGGTGAGTTTTATCGCTCTCCTGTGACTAATCATACGGGTTTGTTTGCAAGTGAATGACTATCTGCTTTTGCATCTCCAGACTTAAATATCCTTTGTAATGGCTTTGTTTTTCAGCCTGGCAGCAGCATGACGTCCAGGAACTGTGCAGGGTCATGTTTGATGCCCTGGAGCAGAAGTGGAAGCAGACTGAACAGGTAGAAAGGACAGTTTTCAGACTTTTTATTTATGAAAAATAAACTCAGCAGCTCCAGAATTTAACTTTGGGGCAAAGATACAATTGGCAAAGTAGCCCTAGGGTTGAGCTTTTATTAATTGTTTTACACGCACGTCTGTTCCACCAACACATTTAGTCATATAATGATTCAACACTGTTAAGAAACATCTTCTAGTATTTTCTTCTATTTTAAACAAAAAAAGAACTGAGACATTGCGTTGTGTGTTTATTTCTTAGGTAATGTTGATCTATATGAAGTTTTATGATTTTCAGCCTTGCTGGTTTTTGGATATGGAAAAGTAAATTAAAGTAAATAAAATTCACTTATGAGATACTTACTGTATGAAAAAATTAAATAGAAACAGAATACCACAACTACACATTTTACTCATTAATCTTGCTGCTTAATTTACATGAAATAAATGTTATTAGCTTTGTTTTTTTCAGCTTATATTGAAAGTCCGATTTTAATGGTTAAACTGGAACAAAATTACAGGAAAAGAACCTTTAAACCTCTAATTTGTGTGTCTGTTCGGTTAACTAAGCATATAACCAGACTAAATTACTAACCAGTTTCAGGTTTTAATAGCTCCTTTACTCTATGAAATGTGGAACAGACAAACGTGTTGCAATTGTTATGAGAACATAAATTGAGTAGATGCATGCTCTTGATAATTTTATTAAGTTGTTGGATTAAAATTTGCAAGAAAATGTAGCATGGTGATTGTTGAAATAATGCCTCTGGACGTCCTCAGGCTGATCTGATCAACCAGCTGTACCAGGGAAAGCTGAAGGATTATGTACGTTGCTTAGAGTGTGGATACGAGAGCTGGAGAATCGACACCTACCTTGACATCCCTCTGGTGATAAGACCCTTTGGAGCCAGTCAGGCCTATGGAAGTGTGGTAGGTTTTTCTTTTCAATAAAGCCAACTTGAAAAAGGAGACCGGTGCTTAAAGCTCATTTTGATTCACTTCACCTCTTTTTGATATTTTAAACTGTAATCTCAATGGACTTGATGTATTTACTGTGCCGCTGCAGGAGGAGGCCTTGCAGGCGTTCATCCAGCCTGAAACCTTGGATGGCCCCAACCAGTACTTCTGTGAGCGCTGCAAAAAGAAATGTGATGCCCGAAAGGTGAGGGTAGATAAAATGTGAAGCAGCGACAGAAATACAGCGTTCTGCAGCTGAGCTCATCTGCTCTTTTTATGTTCCTTTACCCAGGGTCTGAGGTTTCTGCACTTTCCCTACCTGCTGACATTACAGCTTAAAAGGTTTGATTTTGACTACACCACTATGCATCGCATCAAGCTCAACGACCGCATGGCTTTCCCCGAGGAGCTCGACATGAGCCCGTTCATTGATGTGGAAGATGAGGTGAGAGCGTCCATCACTACGTGATTTAGATTAGATAACGGCCCATCAGCATCACAGACATTATGTTGATGAACCAAAATGGGATTATTTTTATAATACATGTGATGAGGAACATGATGTAACAGTTATTGAAAGATTGTTTGTCCATTTCTTGGTATAACTTAATTTATTTTTCATAGATTATATTTCCCCTAATGTGAAAAAGAAACTTTAATCTTTGAAATTTGGTGGGGAAGAAAAGCAAAAAGGAATCTCCAATTATTTGTTAGCGTTGTGGCAACACTGTGGCAAGCCACAGTTCCTCCTCAAAAAAACTGTCACGCTTAATTTCCAGCATTTCTAGTGTAGTTTTGAAAGTTTTCCTAAATGATTTCATCACATAATTGCATATATATATACAAATAAATACATTTAACTCAAGATAAACATTATGTAAAAATATAGTATTCCAGATGGTTATTTTAACCTGAACTGAAACTAAATCAATATAATGTTATCCTTTTACACTGAAATACACTGGTGAGAACCCTTTGGTATTGAGAGAAATCATCTTCAACTAGTCTTCCTTGCTCATTTATAAAGGTAGAGCAACATAAACTGGTTGACCCTCTGGGGGATATCCCCACTGCTTTCTTGTGTACTCCGTGTTTTATACAGCATCCTCCATGAACTATAAAAAACATCCCTTTTAATAGCAAAACTATAGATGGCTTTAATGGTAGTTTTCTTTTGAAATTATAATACCACCTATATTGATAACACTACTACTAAAAATTTTATTTTCTCCAAATATGTTATTATAAATAAGTCAATTAATAAAGCTGCGAGAGAAGGAGTAGAATGTTCCTGAGCAGGAGCACAGAACAAGCCTGCGTTGAGTCTCTCTGATGGACAGTCCTGTGAACTATCTGCCGTTGCAGCTCACCAGCCACAATCGGTTAGAGCGGAAAAAGGCAAAGTTAGGGGAGGTGAAAACCTCAGATAAGTGTGCCTTTTCCAGAAAACAGCCTGATTTATGGGTTCAACCTCTTCTAGCTTTAGTGTATTCTGGCTCAAGCATGGCTGGTAGAACTGATTGTGGCCCATTAAGAGTGATTGTGATTTATATCCTCTCATGATGTGTATTAAACCATGCCACATTGATTTGTGCGCGCCAACCTTTGGACCATGGATACCATGCAGCCTGATGTTTCCTTTTAATCCTTGAACCCTTTTTGTATTGGTGCTGTCTTATCTCGCTTAACACACTGCTGTGTGCATTCTGCTGTCTGTCCAGGCCAACACATAATAGTGGAAAACTCTCCCATCTTTATTTTTTTCAACCTTCATTGTTCTTTTGAAATTGTTCCTTTTTAGAAATCACCTCAGACAGAGAGCTGCACTGATAGCGGGGCAGAGAATGAAGGCAGTTGCCACAGTGACCAAATGAGCAACGATTTTTCCACCGATGACTGTGTTGATGAGGGTATCTGCCTGGACAGCACCAGTAGCACAGAGAAGGCACTGAAGCCAAAGGTAATCATCTCGCTTGCCTTTCTATGGATTTGTTATTACCTTCTTACTTTTTAAGGACTTTATCACTTAAGGCCTCTGAAGCGGAAACATTCATAGACGTACCAGAATTATTGATTATGACCAAAGTTGATGGAAGCTTAGAAAATTTGCCCATCTTTAATCCTAAAGTTGTAGAAAATTGTGGGGAAGGCAGAACCACCTATTTTAAATAAAGCATTGCAGCTGTAATGCAACTTTTGCAAAGCATCAACGTGACAATAAAATATAAAATGCCAACAGAAGAAATCAGGTCATATAAAGCATTCATTTTAGAGTTTTTTTTGTAAATACCAGGAATCATTAATTGGTATTTATTTAAGTCGATCGGACCTGGATAATGCCAGTTTGATCCTTGTCTACTACAAACTTGGACTTAGCCATTCAGGCAAATAGAGTTTTCTGTTTAGGCTTAAAGATGTTCTGAATCTGCTCTACTGAATCTACTTAAGTTCAGATCGAATATGGCTGCCAGACATCTAAAGCATAAAAAAAAAAAAAACATTGGATAAACATTTTGCTTGCATATTCAAAGGTAATATGATGACTGAAACTTTCAACTTAATAGTTACACTATACACTTACAATATGTTTCATATTAGTTTTTATTTCCTCTTCTTTCATATAAGAACTTCATAAATATCTTTTTGAAAATCTGTGTTTTTTACATTTTAAATCTCTTGGTCTCTTCATGTCCTAGCAGCTAATCAAACAGACCAATTTCATGCGTGTAACTGTACTTGGTGTTTTTTCAGCAGTGAACTTTCATCTAACTAATGTTTCTGTTTCCATTCGTAGAGCTTGCTGACCTTTGAGTTATTCTCTGTCATGGTCCATTCGGGGAGTGCTGCAGGCGGACACTACTACGCCTATATCAAGTCCTTCAGTGATGGCCAATGGTACAGCTTCAACGATCAGCATGTTAGCAAGGTCAGACTCAACCTTAAGGGGGGTTGTTTATCCTTTAGCCAGCGGACAACTTTATGATAGATTTATTAGATCACTTTAAAAAAAAAAAAAAAAAATCTTACCTTTATTATTAAATTTTTTTCATGTTTTGAAACGATAGATCACCCAGGATGATATCAGGAAGACATATGGGGGGTCCTCAGGGAGCAGAGGCTATTATTCCAGTGCCTTTGCAAGGTCAGCTTTCTGCTCTCAGCACCATACCGTAGATTTTAATGTTGTTTTCTTAGTTAAAATAAGGAAATTGAATATATTATAAATTAATCTGGTTTAAGGGTGAATTTATTTTTTTCCTTTCTAAGTTTAAAAAGTTTTCTTCTGTCTCTTTCCCAACAGTTCTACAAATGCTTACATGCTGATTTATAGATTGAAAGATCCCTCAAGGAACGCAAGTAAGAGAATAACACACCCAGAATTTTTTTTATCTTCTTAATTACAGATTTTTACATCAGATTAATGGCCATAATGATATTAAAAAAAAAAACAGTATATTACAGATTATATATTTTTTTTCTTTTTTGGCTTTAAGAGGTTGAAGTAGAAACATATCCATACATTTGACTTGCAACAAACGTTTGTAGTTTATCTTTGCAGGCAGGTATATTTTTAAGGTCGGTCTCCATCAGGAGCCACTAGTGAACCACATGCAACAGATGGTCAATCTGACTCTGATTTAGATAATTTGGAGTGTGGTAGGACACACGTTTTATTCATTTATTTGTTGAAAGAGCCCTTTGTGTTAGCAGTGTCTGGTTCAGGGGTTAGAACCCTCAGGTTTGCTCTTTTTTTTTTTTTTTTCCTTTAAATGCGAAAAACATGAAGGCTACCTTGTCGGTCATAATTATTTATCAACTTCATGCATTTGCTTTTCAAATCTGGTGGACAGGAAATTGGTTTGGGTTTTTTGTTCTTAGTGTTTCCGTGCATCTTGATCAAATTGTCTGAAATTCTGTAACCTTTTCCAGGAATAAGGTACTATAGATGTCTGTTGCATGAGCTAATAAGTATGAATGAAAATGACTTCCAACTGGGACTCTTCAGCGTCCAAAACAAAACTTTTATCTCCTTGGCTTCCATTTAAAAAGTATTAAGTTGCAACAAATCAGTTATGTTGCCTTTTCATCTCATGACATTATTCAATATCTTTGTTGTCATTTTCTCTGCCCTTATTGAGGTTGCAAATCTGCAAAAGGCTCAGTGTGTTGCTATTTTTTTTCAGAGTTCCTAGCTGTGGAGGATTTCCCAGAGCACATTAAGAGTTTGGTTCAGAAGGAGAAAGAGTCAGAGGAGCATGAGAAGCGCCTGAGGGAGATTGAACGCAACACTTGCAAGGTAATTTTTTCATTGTTTAAGTTTATTGTGTTGGGTTTTAAAGGTGGGATTATAGTAACACTTTATCAGCCACTAAATGATGACCTGCATTTTCATCCCAATGTTCAGATCAAGCTCTTCTGTGTGCATCCTGTCAAAATGATGATGGAGAGTAAGTTGGAGGTTCATAAGGATAAAACCCTTAGAGAAGCAACAGAAATGGCCTACAAGGTGGGTTGAGTAATCACTGCCATTTTAAATTAGACTGATTGTTTGAAATACTTAACAGAGAAAGTGATAGATAGGATTGGGAAAATTGGCCACTAAACCAAAATAATTTTGACATTTTGGGTATTTTCTCAGCTGATGGAGCTGGAAGGAGTTGTCTCTCCTGACTGCTGTCGCTTAGTAAAGTATGATGAGTTTCACGAGTACCTGGAGCGGTCCTACGAAGGCGAGGAAGACACTCCTATGGGGCTTCTGCTTGGAGGCGTGAAGTCCTCCTACATGTTTGACTTGCTCCTTGAGACACGTCGTCCTGATCAGGTCTTTCAGCCGTACAAACCTGGAGGTTGGTTATCTGCTGACATTTTAGATATTTGGATGTAATGCAACATAGTATGGATTACTAAGTGTTCAGTCTTTAAGTTTTGTGTTTTTGATTTACCAACAGAGGTAATGGTGAAGGTTCATGTTGTTGATCTGAAGACTGAGACCATCGGCCTTCCAGTCAGCGTTCGAGCGTACCTGAACCAATCCATATCCGAATTCAAACAACTTTTAGCACAGGTTTCTGAAACTTTTCAGTTCTTACATTTATTTTATTTTAACATCATGTACAGGTACATCGCAGTGACTTATTCAATCGTTTAAAACTTAGAATATTTCAGGGATTTATTTTCAAAAGTATTATTCATAAAGAATTAATTCCACATCAAGTTCAATAATTTTTTGTGTGATTGTTATGAATCCCAGCTGAACATCATTAAAAATCAGGATTTTGTTTTATATCGTCAACCTACTAAACAATAAGTCCTTCTCCTCTTTAATGTGGTTTTGTTTTTCCAAAGACTCTCAGAGGTGAGCAGAGAATTCTTGAATTTTAAGGCTAAAAGTGAATAAGTAATACAACTGAATAACATGATTTCAAAACAACAAAGAAGAAACACTTCTCAAAATCAATTCTTCCAAAATAAAACATGAAACAGTACTTAAAGTAAATAATGTGTACATGTTAGAATTAATTAAAGTACATCCAGTGACAATATCTACCTTTTACTGTGTATTAATGTGACCTTAAAGTATTATAAAAGGCTTATTAGATAAGAAGTAACATTAAAAAAACAATAGAAAACTCTTTAGAATATAATCTTTACTTGTGGGTCAGAGTCTTCAGCATTTTGGGTTAAAAACATGCTTGTGAGGAGCAAGAGTTGAATGATGGAATTATTACCTAATCTAAAATTAAATTTTTATTATTTTTTTTCCTTCGGCATATGCAACCATTTACCTCCCACCTCTGCTGACTCTAAATGTGAAAAACCTCCACATTCTGCTGAACAGTCATCAAACATGTGGTCCTCCTGTTTCTTTCCACTATATCGTCCATGAATGGGCCTTTTTTTGACACTCGATGAAAAACCAGCCTCTTTAGGAAAGCCTTTAAGGAGTTTCTGCTGATTAAACTGTATATCAGCAGTTTATTTTTCAGACCTCATCCTGATCATAAAATGATTATTTCTATCAAAATTGTTATTGCTCTTAAACTTCTAAAGTTGATGAAAAATATGTTTAATATTTCTGTGATTAATCTGGATGAGGTTTACTTTTTGAATGGCTAAATCAACTGTCAGTGTTGCACTGTTTGAATACTTTTTGTGTTTTGTTAGGCAACAGGTCTATCTGCAGAAACAATGCGAGTGGTCTTGGAGCGATGCTATAATGACCTTAGGCTTCTCTACGTTCCACACAAGACGCTGAAAGCCGAGGGATTCTTCAGGAGTAACAAGGTATCTTTTGTTCCTTCATTTTGTTGTCATAAAAATTTAAAATGCAAAACCTCTAACCAAATTTTTTTCATCAGGTTTTTGTCGAGAGCTCAGAGTTGACGGATCATCAGGTTGCTTTTACCGAATCGCTCTTGTGGAAACTATTGGACCGCCATGGGAACACGATCCGTCTGTTTGTCCTGCTGCCCGAGCAGTCTCCTGGTACTTTGGCCAACAGAACTCTTTGCCAAAAAGCAGGAGAAGACTCTGATGGTCCCTTTGAAGGATCAAAGGGTATCAGGAAATCTGTAGACGCTATACTGGAGGCCAGCACAGAGAAGTTAAAGAACCTGTCTCTACAGCAGCAGGGTTCCAGTGCTAGTGACAGCCAGAAAAGCTCCGACACCAGTGACTTTGAACACATTGAGTCACCGACTCAGGAGGCGGAATCGACCTCTTCACTGTGCATGGCCGCAGACAGCAGGGAGCTAGAGAACCGGATAACTGAGTCCTCTGAGGAGAACCAGTTTGTTTGCGAGGAGCGGTCAGACTCTGAGGTGAACAACGACCGCAGCACTAGCTCAGTGGACAGCGACATCCTGAGCTCCAGCCACAGCAGCGACACGCTGTGCAACGCTGACAGCGGCCCCATCCAGCTGGCCAACGGCCTGGATTCACACAGTATCACCAGCAGTCGACGTTCCAAAGCCAACGAGGGCAAAAAGGAGACCTGGGACACGGCAGAGGAAGACTCTGGGACGGACAGCGAGTATGACGACAACGGGAAGAGTAAGGCAGAAGCTCAGTACTTGTACTTCAGAGCAGAGCCTTATTCTCCGGATGACGCTTCCTGTGACACGCAGAAATGTAAAAAGCTTTCCACTTCAACTTACACCAAATTTCAGAAATTCAAATGTTTTTAATGGGATATTTATGTCTTTCTCAGGTTTAGTGGTTCATGTGGACAAAAGAATAACGTTAGCAGCATTCAAACAGAACCTGGAGCCGTACGTCGGAGTCCCTTCGTCCCAGTTCAAGGTGTTTCGAGTGTACGCCAACAACCAGGAGTTTGAGAGTGTACGGCTCAACGAGACGCTCTCATCATTCTCAGATGACAACAAGGTAAGGACGAGTTGCTCAGGATATATTTTATTTGGGTGACATTTTTTTTTTATTTAACTGAACTTCTGCTGCTCAGATAACCATTCGACTGGGAAGAGCATTAAAAAAGGGTGAATACAGAGTCAAAGTGTTTCAGCTGCTTGTCAACGAACCAGAGGTAAGTCCTTATTAATACCCAGTGGTTATGTTGGTATGGCACTGGATTTTAATCATCTTAGCTGGGGTACATTTTGAGCAAGGCAGTGAACTAAATGGCTTAATTTGGAGTTCTTTTCAATTGCCAAATGGTTTTTGTTTCTCCAGCCATGCAAGTTCCTTGTGGACACAGTGTTTGCTAAAGGCATGACTGTAAGACAGTCCAAAGAGGAGGTGCTCCCTCAGTTAAAAGAGCAGTGTAAGCTCGACCTCAGCATCGACAGGTAAGTTTAACTAAATCAGATTATTTTTCTTGTTAGACCAAAATAGTCATTTGAAACAGTTGATGAATTTGTCTATTTATTTTAGGGTTCGTCTCAGGAAAAAGACATGGAAAAACCCAGGGACGGTGTTTTTGGATTACCATGTCTATGAGGAAGACATCAACATTTCCTCTAACTGGGAGGTTTTCCTGGAAGTTCTTGATGGTAAGAGAGTTTTTAAATCACCAGCACTCAAATACAATTTCTAAACTGTATATTTTTTTAAGAAAAAGGCCATCACTTCATTTTCTGTTAAGACAAAGTCTTTTTACGTTCTTCCACTATAACAACAAAGATATGAGATTAACCATGATCTCCCACAACCTTCATATTATCAATGATTATTAAACGTTTAGTGGAGGATGTTCTTTTTCCTGGTGGATCATCAAAATAAGTGGTCCTCCTAATTGTCAATCCTTCCGGTGATATGTTTACCTAAGGCCGTCCTACATGCTCGTCCCCATTTTCAAGCATCAGCTTTTAAACAGAGGATGCACACAAGGACAAATTGGCTCGTGCACGCTCTCGCACGCGTTTAATAGTCGTTCCCTCCAGGGAGCGAGTATAGGGTTGTGCATGTGCATTTTTTTTTTTTAAAGTGTAGGGTTTTGTTTTTTGTTTTTTGTTTTTTTTAATTTGCGAATATCCTGAACTATGCCTTTAAAATGTAATGGAATACTGCTTTTAAATCAGCATTTGCTTGCTTTATTCTCAGATTCAGAGAAGATGAAGTCCATGTCACAGCTGGCTATTTTGACTCGGAGGTGGAGCCCTGCTACTATGAAGCTGGGACCCTTCCAGGAGGTGATTCTGGAGAGCAGCACTGTAGAAGAACTCAAGGAAAAGGTATTTCTGTCATGTCCTTTCACTTTAACTCTGTATACAAGATGTAACATGACGTCAACTTTGACAAAAGGCTGTTAATAATTCACCATAGGTTAAACAAAAAAACATACATCAATTTAGAGCAGCTATTCATTGCTGCCAAGGCAATAATGAGAAAAAGAAGTGCCAATGCTTTCCATCTTTCATGAAATATTGTTTCTTTGTGTGATTGTCGCCATCTGGTGGCTATTGTTAGTAGCAGTATCCTCTTTAGTGTTAAAACATGTATTAGGTTAATGGCATGTTTTTAGGTTTTTCTTTACATCTTAAATAACAGGTCATAATGGTTGATACTTCATATGTAGTTTGCTGTTTTGGTTATTTTCTTGACAATCATCTTTTTTCCACATTTCACACATTTATTGCTTTCATCGGCTTGCACAGATTGATCTTTAACATATTCTGTTTGTTCCTCATTTTTTTTGCAGCTCAGTGAAATGAGCGGTATTCCTTTGGAAAACTTGGAATTTGCAAAGGTTTGAACATTTCGGCACCTCTGACCTTATTTCTTCATATAAACTTCCTTAACTTATAAGCTGTATGTCTCTGCTGAACAGGGTAGGGGAACATTTCCATGTGATATATCCGTGTTGGAAATCCACCAGGATCTGGACTGGAACCCAAAGGTGACGACTCTGAATGTGTGGCCTCTATACATCTGTGATGATGGAGCCGTGGTCTTCTACAGGTAATGAATGATATTTCTGATTCATGCTTTTGCTTTTATTTACTCCATATTGACATTGATTGCATAAAGAACAAAACATTGAACACGTGATGATAAACCACACTGAACAAATAAAGCTCTAAAATGCTGTTTTGTTAATGATACATTCTAATTGTAAAAGACTGGCATTCAACATGGGAGTTTCTCATCTCAAAATTAGATTTTTTTAAATTTAATCTTTTAGGTCTGACTACAAAAAGAAAATTGTAATGAAGATAAAACTGTACAACGTCTGACAGTTATCAACGGCTTCTTAATATATTCTTGAAAGATTGGACTAGTTTAAGCTCAGGGATAGGATGAAATGAGTTATTGTGCTTTTTCAATAAAACAGGCCTACATGTAGCCTAATGAATGATTTATGAAGTTCTAATATTTGTATTTGTCGTCACAATAGATTGCAATGGACTTTAAGATACTTTTATCATTACTTAGTGTTACCGCAAATCTGCAAACCCTGTAATGAGGTGCAAAATGTATTTTTATCTAAATCTGTAAGAATTGAAATAATTTAAGTCTTCCAATGTGTTTCGGGTAGGTGGATACTTCGAACTGAATGTAATATATTAATGTAAAACTGGCTTATATTGATGGCCTCTGGGATCATTTGTAAGAGTAAAATAACAGAATGGATCTCTGTTGCTGCAGAGACAGCCGAGAAGAACCTCTGGAGCTGTCGGAGGACGAGCGTAACGAGCTGATGAAGAAGGAGAGCAGCCGTCTGCTAAAGACAGGACACCGCGTCAGCTACTCCCCACGCAAAGAGAAGGCGCTAAAGATCTACCTGGACGGCGGCCCTGTGAGGGACCCGGGTCAGGACTGAAGCACAGACACAAACCACTCTCGGCTGATTGGATGGCCTGGCAGTTGGGGGTCCACCAGGCGTCTGCACTTTGACGCCGCAGTGGCTGGAAATGGAGCAGCATTGTGAGGCGCGTGTTCTCACAGAGCTGATTCAGAACCCCCGTTATGTACCATAGTGTAATGTACTGTAAATCTATGAGGACGTTCAGAAGCTAATTTTACAGAGAAGACTCCAATACTGTATAGACAAATCACATGACGTGGAGGTGTACAGGATAGGACTGTAAAACCAGTTAGCAAGGCATCCATCCTGTCTTTGTAAGAGTCCTGTGTGCTTTGAAATCAAACTTCCTGTTATTCTGTGTCCATGTCTGAGCTGAACAGTGTTAATTCTTGCTTCTCTGCATCTTCTTCTACTGTTCTCATCCTGCGCTGACCATTTCTGAATGCTTTAGGAGAAACAGCTCTTGACCCAGCCTTCCTCCTCTCCATAACTTGGAAGTTAAACATCATTCACAGGTTTTGAGGTGAACAAAAGCAACAAATGTCACTCTAACACCCACATTATGTGCTTTGGTTTGCTGCTTTTCATCCCTTGCTTCATGTAGTGATTTCATAGGCTGTCGGTCCTTTCATCATAAAGTACAATGAAGCAAATCCAAGATTTCTGCTACTGTTTAAGTTATTCATTTGCTTCAGACCCTGTCATTACAGTTAGGTCTTTAGCAGGTCACACATCTGCTGTCTGTTTAGTTATATTTTTAGAAGATCTGTTTGTTGTTTTTTTTTGTTGTCTTTTGCACTTTGTTAGCTAAACATCCACAGCATGGGTCATCGTTGTCCTGTCTGGTGGGGACTCTTTGGGTTTTTGTCAGGGGTGCACTAAGTTTATCTGGGTCTTTCGACGCTTCTATTTGGTGCAGCTTGATAGACTGACGGCAAATAGCCTCCTGTCCGGGTTAACACCCCTGAACTGAAACTCAGCATTCAGGCTACCCTGGACTCCTGGTTGCCACCAGCTTTTCACTGCAGAAGTGTCGATGTTGGAGAATTCTTTCTTTGATGTTTATTTCTTTGAAATTTGAGATCATATGTGAAAATAACTAAAGATGATTTTAGAAATAAATTAAAAGTGCTTTTTTTTTTTGATAAAATGACTTTCTTATTTTGATCATCTAAACAAGTGTTTCCAAAAAATTTTAGTCTTACCATTTATTCCGTGAGCAGAACAACAGATTGGATTAATGGTCCACAAACTCCTGCATTCACAAGCATTAAATAACTGGAATGATGCTTCCAACATAAATTTTAGATCAGTTTCTATTTTAACACAATGATGCATGAAAACCATGAGGTAATGCAGCCACAAAATAACTTAGCATTGGAGGAAAAAAAGGAATTGCATTGAAATGTATAAATGTAGATGTTACAGAGCAAGATGTAGAACATAATCTATGAAAAGCCAGAGCTTGAAATGCCTACATATGAAATCCATTACAAAGATATTCCAGTGGATTTTATTTAAATTAAAATTGCATAGTTATTTGCATTTAAACCAATACCTTATTGGTTACAATAATCACACCGCATTATCAGGCTATTGATGTTATGTTAGACCAGTTAATCCAAAAGTTATTCTTACTACTTTCAGATGTTATTAATGTTTGTCTCTTAAAGGAAATGATTTGGGCATCTCTCAAACGATATTAGTTTTGTAAAAGTATCAGCTATAAAAAAAAAATTTCTCTTCATAAAAGCGCAATATTTAGTTTAAAATAAATTATGTTTGGTGAAATCCTTTTTTGCATATTTCAACTAGAATATTGCCTTTTTTTTATGGTGATGAGCTCTGAGTCTGAGGTATGAACCCATTATATGTCAATAAATCCAACCTTAGCTTCAGGAATCCAGCAAATCTAAGATGTTATGTCTATTCTGAGGACAGGTTAATAAAATGATTGTCATGTTATTTTAAAATAATTTAGGCTTACTTTAAAGGTTATAGTGAGGTTTTTACCAGCAAAGATGAAGACAAACCCTTTTCCAAGGAGGCATCTAATTTAGGCATTTTGAAAAATGGATGAGAAACAAATTACAAATAGAAAATAACTTTAGCTTTAATAACTTGTTTATTAAACGTGAGCTTAGACATTTATATATATTTTTAAGTTTTTCAATTTTAATTTATAAAGGAACGTCAACAGTCTCTAGTTATATCATGCATTCCTTTGTGCTATTTCTTTTAACAGCTGTAATGTTTTATGCAGAGGAGAAAACATTTCTATTGCCAAAGGTTTTAGCTTTAATACAAATTTTATGTTGCAATTACTGCTGCTTTGGGTTTTCTGGTAACATTTTGTTTTTATTTTATTCAAAATAGTATTCATTTCTTTAAACAATTAGACCTAAAGTTTTCTTCTTTGCAATTATTTTCTTAAAACTCAGCTGTCTATCAGGCTGTTAATGGGTCAAGCTTAAATCACTGTAGAATTAGAAGACTGGTTAATATAACCACTGTTGTTTACAGTAAGGAACAGTTATCTCCAAGGAAAATGTGGAAACAATAATTTTGCACCAAAATAGCCTGATGAGCAAAGAATGGTTGCTAAGAATAGTGCAGCTGACAAGAGCAGTAACCCAGAAATAAAAGAACTTCACTGGTGTCCATTTCCTTGCGACAGAGAGGATTTTAGAATGCCAAGTGCCAGAGCTTGCTTAAGGCAATGGCTTTAAAATTGACAAAAAATCTGCAAAAAAAAAAAAAAAAATGCAATGGACAGCAGGAAATTGGTACGAAGTTTCTCTGAAAAATCCTCCTGTTTGGGGAAATCGTTCTGGAGAAGAAGAGGTGAGTACTACCAGCTGTGCACTCAAGCATCCTTGCATAAAATACTAATTCTCCCAAAAGAGTAGGCTTCCTTACAAACCACTGCTGTTCATAAAGAGAGGGACCGAAGTCTACATCAGCATCTTCCATTAAAATTCAGGGATGGTTTCAGTATTTTCTGGAATGAAGCAAGAGGTTGAACTTTAAAATGTGGAACCTCCCTAGATCTAAACTTCACTGAGAATATCTGGTCTGTTTCAATATATAAAGTATGACCCTTGCTAATAAAACTTTCGTGAATACATTTTTGGCACCTAATGGAAACTTTTTATCACGATCAGTGAAACAAAAGAAGGTTTCAAATGTATATTGCTAAAACTACGGGGAGTTCAAATTATTTTTTTCAGCTTTGTGGATAAAAACCCAGTCATAAGCTAAAAAAAAAAAAAAAGAGCATTCCATCGTTAGACTGAGACACATATGGAAAAAAGTACAATGAATATTGAATAGAGGAAAAGCAATGTCTTCTTGGCATACATTGGGGACATTTATCCCCTTAAGAGCAGGAAGCAGCACAAGCTGAATGAGACTGAATATCTTATTTCAGGTTCATATCGATCTAAATGCCGACTCTCTAGACCTAAATAGCTGATATCAGCTATTACTAACCTTCCTATCATCCAAAGAAGATATTAATTATTTAAGCAACATTCAGTATAATAATTGTGTCATATCATTTAAACGTAAAGTATAAAAGTGATATCAGTTATTATTACTCTATTACTACCTTTTAATCTAAAACTTTAGTGGAACAGTAGAGTCTGTAAGGACTTTCATTCTGCTTGTCAAAATGACAATCTACTCAAGCTTTTGTCTAAAGGATGTAGTCGATTTCTGAATACAGGGAGTCTGTTAATTCCTCTTCACTTGAGTCCTCTGCTTTCAGACACATGGACCCTCGCCTGTTGAACAGTAAGGAAGGAATGAGTAAGGACTTATTCACATACGCTGCAAGATACTGTAAGAACAAAGTGCTGCACTCACCCCAGATGCTGGCACTGAAGATCTCCTGCACATGGACAGTGTTTCCTGGGTTTATCGTCCAGCGTCTTCCAGGACAGCAGCTCCATCAGGTTGTTGGAAACGCCAAAGCAGCGTTCACGTTCAATCGGCTTGGCCGAACATACAGGGAATAGCAGGGCTGCACAAAAAGAAATGGGTCAATACTGAGAACGATACACAGTAACCGTCGTGGGCAGGATGTGTTGTGTTTTACCTTTATGAAAAGCGCAGCAAAGATCTGGCTTACAGTCAGTCTGGTACTGACAAGTACTGCCAGCTTCTCCTTTGGTAGCGTTTTGGCTGCACTGACCCCACACACACATCTGCTCACTGCAGCACTCCTCATCTTTAGTACAAGACTAAAAAAAAATAAGAATATTGTTTAAACTCTGGTGTCTAAAATGCACCAAAGAAGTACCCCAGTGTTTATTAGAGTTAATCCCTGCAGCAGCATTAAATATTTATTCTTTTTTAACCATGATGTCTGAGGACTTTACTTAATGGTAAATCAAATCAGTGGGGTAGTTTTCTTGTAAAGATGCTAAGAGGAGCATGATCTATATGTTATTTCTAATGGATGTTTTACTGTCTGGAAATGTGAGCAGAATAAAGATCCTGTCCTCTGTGTATTTCTGCTCCTTCTATGCTGCACCTGTGGTTGGCAGACTGCCAGGCTGTTCATTTTTCCATTTATTTTATTCTGCAAACCTCCTCCAGAGTAAATTATATCAAATCTGGAAACCAAAATGTTTACATAAATGTAATAAAAACAAATCTTGTGCAATCACATATGAATCACATAAAATGATAAACTCGTATTCAACATTGGCTCAAGCCGTCCTTCCATCTGAAGCTCTACACTTACTAGAATTACATTTGTGGACTTCGCTGCATTGCAGTGCATGTGAAACCCCCAGTATCCTGACAGAGTATGAGCAAGACGCTATATACCCCACTGAAATAGAGTCACACCATCATAATAACACCCTGCACCTGCAGTCTCACGTACAAAAAATGTTCTTGACAGGATGAAACTGGATTGTATGATAAAAAATGACATTTAGGGAGGGTTATAGAAAATTAAAGATTTCCTACCATATCAGTATCTTTACATGGCTGACACTTGGACTTATGTGTGTTGGACAGGCAATAGCTTCCTTTCCCACAGTCCTCACTCGTGATGCATCCCTGGAGAGGAAAAATAGAGATAACATCGGATGTAAGCTCCGTTTTTTTTAACATTATGCTCCAGAAGTTGAGAATTTTATTCAAAATAATGACTCGACAATTTGATCAGTTAAGAATCCCAAGGATTGCTAAACATTCAAACCACAGAAGGTTTATTTTCTCATCCTTACTATGAATAAGTAATAGTTTTCATGCATGGCTCTGAAAAAAAAAGAAATACACTGTATTTGGTTGGACACGGCTGAGTCCGTCGATAGCAAACATCATGCAACATTTATAGCGCTGGAGAAAATGAGCTTTCAAATCTAAAAATGGAAGGAATGAGGAAAAAAAGAACAACTTACTTGATTGATATTGTTATCCAAGTCATTGTCTAGTACAGGTGTAGCAGTTACGTTGATTATTCCCTGTGCAAAGTTGAAATATTTCTTAAGTTTTACTACCAAGGTAAATTGTGTCTGACTTTTGTTTACAGCTTTTATTTATGTTGATCAACCTGTTCTGCAGAGGAGTCCACAGATCCCTCATTCGTGGCCTTATCAGTCTCATTGGGATGACTCTGCGGAAGGTCATTGGCTTGAGGGGTGTCAATGTTGTTTACCTAGATGAACAATAATAGCCTACAGAATAAAGACCATCATATTCTTCTGTTATGTAGCTACAGTAAATTTAACTAGAATTTTTTTCCCCCTAGATTATCCTCTCCAGTAAAAATATCCATCTAAGTAGCCAAGTGACAGCAGCATGAAAGCAAGGCCAATTCACGCAGACAGGAGGCTGCAGCTGAGGGTTGCTGCCTACCTGGGGAGATGCGTCGTCTGGCTTCTGCTGCTGATCCTCCTGCACTTGCTGTACAAGTATGCGGTCGAGCTCTGATGGTCCCTCCACGATGTGATTGATTCCAGACTCTGCTATCTCAGGGAGGATGCCATTGCAGACTGCTGTCAGCGCCAGAAATGTAAAGATAGATCGCATCATGCTGCTGCTGGTCATCCTGCTGCTGCTGCTGCACACTGAGGAGAAGCAGGAGGAGGAGGAGGAGGAAGAGGATGAGGGGGAAGGTGTGGCTGCTGCCTCCAGACACAAACAGCCTCGTCACAGCAGAGCAATCACATCACAAGCAATTCTTAAACACCCTTTTTGTAAAAAGGAGTGCTACCGCAGGTCATTCATCCCTGCCATCAGACTTTACAATGCAGCACTACAACTGCAATTTTTTAATTTGTGCAATAACTAATGTGCAATCACTATTTAATACCCCCATGCAATTTTACATTTAAATATATATATATATACATTATAACATT